CCTCGCTGTATCTCTGCGGTGGCGTTGCGGTGGTGGCTCCTGTGGGGCTGAGCTGGGGGAGCTTCTGCCCCGGCGGGGTTTTATTCTCCCTTTCTGTGTCCTGTGGGGTCTGGGCTGACGTGGTCTACAGGGCAGAGGAGGGGGGTGGAATCTGTCAGCAAGCCAAACTGCAAAAACCAAGCCCCGGGGCAAATCTTTCTGTGAATAAAGGCCGTGTCATAAATAGCTTTTATTATTATTATTTCTAATGATACAGTATTTGATGTGAGCTTCTCCAGGGGTCTCGTGTACGTTTGCATATCAGAGTGTATTCTATCCAAATATATTATTTACTCCTTCCAAGTGGTACTAAGGTAGCTGTGACACTTTAAAAAATATTGCTAGTGGAAAGTAAAAAGAAAGTGTGTGTAGTGGCACATCTTTCCCTCTTACTGCCCCATGCTGTCGTCTGTCAGGGTGATGTTTGTCTGTAAATGTCTCATACCGAAGTAGCAGGAGACAAGTGCAAAAGCCGGATTTACCTGTAAATAATGGCAATGAATACTCCCTGGGTCAGAGTCTGCACCTCAGATCCTGCTGATGAGATAAGATGGTCTAAAAAACCAACTGAGCAACCAAGTCTTAAACTCCCCTGCTCCCACTGAGTGTGATAGTACCTTCAGCTGGTGCATTGGCTCTTCTTTGCAGCAGCTACCAACCGAACCCAGCCACCTTCTGCTTACCACGGACGTGCAAACGAGATGCTCTGGAGCTCTGCAGCACTGTGCAAAGAGTCTGGACAACCACCTAAACCCCATATGCACAAAATTCCCAGCTAAACCTGAATAGCAATAAACATATATCAAACGCTCAGGCCTGTACCATAATTGTTGTGGTCCCATTTCTTCTCTCATCACTGACAGGAGATGTCAGGCAGATGCTGCAGCCTTGCAGGGTCAGGGGGAGATGCAGGATCTGCCCAGTGCAGTCTAATTAAAGCAGTTTTGGCCAGGGATCCGGTGTCTGCAGAAAGGCAGGTTCCCCTTGAAACAGCAGCCGGTTTGTAGGGGTGATCTGCCCCTTAGACCAGAGTTCAGAGAGGGGAGAAGAGGCTGAAAGATCGGGCTGCTGCCAAGCACAGGGCTGTAAGAAGCGTTTTCTGATTACACTTCTGGACTAACTGTGGAGGATGGGAGCAGGGAGACAGGGATGTGATGAGCGACAGCTCGTTCCTCCTCTGACCCCTGGGGAAGGGGAAGGTTTAGCTTCAGCCTCTCCCCTGCTGCGTCCTTGCTTGCTTCACTCTCCCCCTGGATTCTGCCCAGTCTGGCGGGGTTGGCTGGACCAGCCTGAGCCTCTTCCTTCGGATATCAAGTCTCAGGGCTGGAACAAGGGGGTTGTTTCCCCCCCGGCTCCCTGAGCAGCACCTCCTGACCGTGAGCATAGCCGGCTGTAATGGCAAGCAAAAGCCACAGCTCAAAATGCTCCCGTTAAAACACAAACACCCCCCCTGGCTTCACCCTGCCTCGGGCTCCGTCACCCCTGGGCAAAACCCAGCTTCAGTGCGAGCGTCGCTGTGGGGCCGGGCTGGCAGCCTGGGACGAGCCCAGCGAAGGTCGGGGGCAGCTGGGCTGCCTGCGGGGCCCCTTGCTGCCTGCCAGTCTGGGGACAGTCCGGTCGTTTCGAGAGCTCAAGATGGGCGTGTGACGAGCCCTCAGCCAGTCCTGGTGGCCACAGGGCACAGAGAAACAGCGAAACCCCATGCCTGGACAGACAGGTGGGGGGTCAGCCGGGTCAGGCTCCCAAGATCAGCCCCTACAGATGGAAGCTCTGGTTCATGGCACCCTCTGCAGCCCCCCCCGTGCCCTGGCATCACCCCCCACCCAGCAGAGCCGCCCCCGCCTGCCCTAGCGCCCCGCTCCTCTGGCCCACCAAGGTGTCCTCACCTCCACCTTGCCCTCCCGCTGCGGCCCAATGCGGGGCTCAAGCAACGGGGATGAGTTTCACCCCCAACCTCCTTCCCCATCTCGGACTGAAGCTATGGGCTGTCCTGCCCCACAGCATCATCCCCTCCCAGGGGGCTCATGGCCTGGGCTTCACCCCATCCTTGGGACTCTCCTGCTGCCTCTCATTGGGGTGGGGGGTATTTCTGCAGGAAGAAGGACCTTTGCCTGTCACTCTGGAAGCTCCTGGAGGACAAACTGCCTTGGACCGAACCCTCCCTCCACCTCCACGTGACAGTTACTGTCCCTGTGCAAGACAGAGAAACTGAGGCACAGAACGAGATGCCTCACGGCAGCGGTTCACTGCCCTGCCGGGTACCGTGGGGTGCTGGTACCGGTGCTGCTGCCTCTGCTCCTCCTCTGCCTGCCTGGCCTGGCTCAGCCGTCACTGCAGGAGGAACCTGGCTGCTCCCGGGGCTCAGCTGGGGCCGTTTAACCTCCAGACAGGTTTCACCTGGAGCCTGGTGGGTCTCGGTGGGGGCAGGTCCACCACCACCTGCTGGGGCTCTTTCTGGGTGGCTGCTCTTATAAACCAGCAGCCTACTTGCCTCAAGGGCTTTTTCTTCCTTTCTTTTCCCTTTGTTTTTTAGGAGACTTGGTTTAGAGGTGGGGAGGGTTGGGGTCTGCTGCCTGCAGGTCTCTGGGATGTAGTGCGGGGATTTTCTACCCTTCCCAGCACGGCCAAGCAGGTAAGGGCACAGCCACGAGCTGCCTCCCGCCCCTGGGCTGGAGCTGGGGGCTGCAGCCTGGAGCAGGGCTCTGCCCTGGGGCTGGCTGCAGTCAGGAAGCATCCCAGCACTGTTGTTCTCCTACCTAATGTCCCAGATGAAGGACAATGTCATCACGTAGCTCTGAGGTGGCCTTGGGGCTCGGTTCCCAGCCCAGACGCAGCACTCCTCTGCCTGTGCAAAGAAATTCCTTCCCAGCGCTGCATCTCCTTCCACCGCGGAGCCGCTCGCTCTCCCTGCTCAGCCAGGAGGACTTCCTCGAGAGCTTCAACAGGTACGTGGCTGCTGGGATGGGGTGGGGAGGGGTGAGCCCTGGTCTTGCCTTTTGTTTGCCCCCAAGGGAACATGTGCCCTGTCTGGGATGGGTTTGGTTTCATGGTCCAGCACTGGCACTCCCAGCACCAGGAGGCTCGTGGTGTGCAGGCTCCCATCACTTGCCTGTAGCCAGGGCAAAGTCGATGGCTCTGGGTCTCCCGGGTGTCTCTGCTGTTTGCCCTGTGGCAGCTGAGACCGGGCAGTGCTGCACATCCCAAAGGCCACCGACTCACACCTGTGTCCCTCCTGCTCTGCCAGGAGCTTCTGCGGCACGAGCGATGCTTTGGGGGCCGGTCTGTTGGATTGCAGCTACTCCATCCCCGACCGACAGCTGGTCCAGAGGATCGTGTCCCAGGTGGAGTTCTACTTCTCTGATGAGAACCTGGCCAGGGATGCTTTCCTCCTGAAACACGTCCAGAAGAACAAGATGGGCTTTGTCAGCATCAAACTGCTGACGTCCTTCAAGAAGGTAGGCAGCCTGCGGCGCTGGCCAGCCGGGGTGGGAAGTGGCCTTCATGTGGAGGATGCCCAGGTGTCTGCGTGTGCTCTGGCTGTCCCTGGTGGGATGTACGGGGAGGCCCAGGCTCTGCTCAGGCTCTCTGTGTCCTGGTGGAGCAGTGGTGGCGCAGAGCTCGGCTCTGCTCTCTGCCTTTGATGTGCTGCAGCCGTTTTTCAGGGAGGGTGGCTGGGGAAGTGGTGAACAGTTCTCAAACCAACCCCAGGGGTAGATTCACCTCTTCTGCCTGTGGTCCCCCCCAGGCTGCTTTGGGAGAGATCATCCCTTAACCAAAACACTGCAGGGAGGTGCTGGTGGTGTGACACACGGGGAAGCTGTCTCCTGTTGTCATGGTCCAGGGACCTTCTGCTGCAAACCCCAAAGATGCTCACGTGTAAGGGGGTGTTGCCTTGCCATGACTTGAGGCTGATGGGGTTGCAGCCTGGCTGGATGATGGGTTTCGGGTGGTCCCTGCCTGGGGAGACTCATGGGGACGCAGTGGGCCCCTCTCTCCCGCAGGTGAAATACCTGACGCGGGACTGGCGGTTCACACTCTACGCCCTGCAATTCTCGGAGCTGCTGGAGGTGAACGAGGAGGGCACCAAAGTGAGGCGCCGGGCCCCCATCCCCGAGTCCCTGCTGAGTGTCCCCCCCAGCAAACTGCTGCTGGCCTGGGAACTGCTGCCCCAGGAGCAGGACGTGCTGCCACCTCTCCAGAAGAATTTCCTCGAGACCATCACGAGGATGTTCAGCCCCTTCGGCGCCATCGCCTCCATCCGCATCCTGCGGCCGGGCCGCAAGCTGCCCTCGGATGTGCGGAAATACACCTCGCGCTTCCCAGAGCTGCTGAGCAAGTGCTGCGCGCTGGTGGAGTACGAGAGCCTGGAGAGTGCCCGCAGGGCCTTCGAGGACCTCAGCCACCAGAGCCACCCAGGCAGCAAGAGCATCAGAGTGGTCCGGCTCTGTGGGAAGGGCTTCAAGAAGAAACCTGGGGCTGAGAGGGAGGCGGCGGATGAGGTGCTGGATGAGCTCGGCTGGAAGGCGCAGGCGGCAGCTGCCACCCTGCCCTACAGCATCGGGGACTCGCTGCTCTGCAGTTCCCTGGAGCCGGATGGTGCCCCGGCATCGCCGCCTCTCCTCCTGGACAAGGGTGACTCGGCGCCCACCTGGCCCGGTGACAACTTCCAGCCCAATGACCTTGGCAACACCTTCACTGGATCGCTCCTCACCAGCAAAGTCTTTCCTCCGCTCGGGATGGGCTTGGGCACCAGCAGTTGCTACGGCCTCTGCTCCAGCCCTGAGAGCCCCCGCAGCTGCGGTTGGGGGAGTGGGGCGGGTGCCTGGGCACCCTGGTGCAGCAGCCCCTCTCCTGATGCCAAACCTCCTCCCAGCAGTCCCCTGGCAGCAAAGCAGGTGCCCAAGCCCCTCGGCCTGCAGGACAGGGTCCTTCGCCTGCCCTATGGCCCCGATGGCACCAAGGGCTTCTGTGGCAGCTTTGGGAGGGAAGAGCTCGTCCTCTGGCACTGAGACTCGTTTATGTTTGGGTTTGGGGATTTTTCTTTTCTTTTGTTTTCCTCTTTCTCTCAAGCAGAATAACTCTTGGTGTCCCCCAGAGAGCTGCGGGTGGTGGCAGTGCAGCTGCTCCAGGGGACAGGAGTTTCGGGGCAAGCACGATGCTCAGGGTGGGTCAGCGTGCAAGGAGGGATGCTGAGCAGCAGCAGCACTGGGAGCTCACCATGCCGTGCTGAGGCCAACAGGACCATGCCTGCCGGGGGTCCAGAGCGGCTCCCACCGCCCCAGCAGCATCACTGGGACTGCCCTAAAGAAGCGACTCAGCCCCCTGATCCCTGGCACTGGGGTCTGCCCCGACGGAGACCTTGCCCTGTGCCTTCTGCCAGCCAGACCCAGAGAGGTGAGGCCGCCTCCCAAAGGCACTGGTGTCCCCAGGTTGTGGAGCTGGGGTGGGAAATGGGCAATAAAGAGAGATGAAGTTTCCAGGCATTTTCTGGCTGGTGCACTGATTGTCTTATTTGTTCCCCCTTGCTGGACCTGGGGCTGCCCAAGGTGCAGCCAGAGAAGGGGAGGAGGGTCCCTGCCTGCCTCCAGCTCCCTCCTTCGTTGTCCTTGGGGTGATTTGGGGCTGTTTTGATTCGGCAATGCTGCAAAGCTGGGCTGCAGAGCTGAGCGTGGTGGGACCCGAGGAAGGGCGTGATAGTCTCGAGGCTTTGAAGGGCTTTGCCCCAAGCCCAGTCCCACTGGAGGGGACACTGCTCGTGTTCCAGACAAAGGCCTTGCAGCCCTTCTTGTCATGTGTGTCTGCGTGTGTGTCCCCCTGGCGCCCAAGGTCTGTCCTTGTCCCAGGGGCTCGGTCCTGCTTTCTGTGTGGGGCCATGTCCGTGAGTCCTGCAGGGACCCGTCTGTCCTGGCTGCCCCACAAAGGACTGCTTCCCCTGGGGTAGGGGACAGGGGAGGCCCCCCTGCCACTGTCTGCCCCGCTGGTGGTGACCTGGCCCTGGGGGTGGCTCGGTGCCCTTTGGGGTTCGCCAACTCTGATTTGGGGCTTTTGCACCTCTTGGGTGCCATTTCCTGGTGCCCCCTGTGCTCCCTCCCCCTCCCACAC